TCAAAAATTTTCTGGAAATAAATGAGGATAACAGCACAACATACCAAAACTTATAGGATACAGCAAAAGCAGTGTTAAGAGGAAAGTTTATATCAATAGGTGCCTACATCAAGAAATTGGAAACCAAATAAATGAGCTTTCAATTTATCTCAAGGATCTAGAAAATCTGCAGCAAACCAGACCCAAATCTAGTAGGAGAAGAGAAATAATTAAAATCAGAGAAGAAATCAACAGGATTGAATCCAAAAAAACATTTCAAAAAATCAGCCAAACGAGGAGCTGGTTTTTTGAAAAAATAAACAAAATTGACACCCCATTGGCCCAACTAACTAAAAAAAGAAGAGAAAAGACCCAAATCAATAAAATCAGAGATGAAAAAGGAAATGTAACAACAGACACCACAGAAATAAAAAGAATCATCAGAAATTACTACAAGGACTTGTATGCCAGCAAACAGGAAAACCTATCAGAAATGGATAGATTCCTGGACACATGCAACCTACCTAAATTGAACCAGGAAGACATAGAAAACCTAAACAAACGCATAACTGAGACAGAAATTGAAACAGTAATAAAGGCTCTCCCAACAAAGAAAAGCCCAGGACCAGATGGATTCACTGCTAAATTCTACCAGACATTTAAAGAAGAACTAACTCCAATTCTTCTTAAACTATTCAGAACAATCGAAGAAGAGGGAATCCTCCCAAATTCTTCCTATGAAGCCAACATCACCTTAATTCCTAAGCCAGAAAAAGATGCAGCACTGAAAGAGAATTACAGACCAATATCCCTGATGAACATAGATGCAAAAATCCTCAATAAAATTCTCGCCAATAGAATGCAACAACACATCAGAAAGATCATCCACCCAGCCCAAGTGGGATTTATCTCTGGTATGCAGGGACGGTTCAATGTTCGCAAAACAATCAATGTGATACACATTAAAAGACTGCAGAAGAAAAACCATATGATTATCTCAATAGACGCCGAGAAAGCATTTGATAAAATACAACACCCGTTCATGATGAAAACTCTAAGCAAACTGGGTATGGAAGGAACATTCCTCAATACAATCAAAGCAATTTATGAAAAACCCACGGCCAACATCCTATTGAATGAGGAAAAGTTGGAAGCATTTCCACTGAGATCTGGTACCAGACAGGGATGCCCACTCTCACCACTGCTATTCAATATAGTTCTGGAAGTTCTAGCCAGAGCTATTAGGCAAGAAAAAGAAATTAAAGGGATACAAATTGAGAAGGAATAAGTCAAACTATCCCTCTTTGCAGATGATATGATTCTTTATTTAGTGGATCCAAAGAACTCTACTAAGAGACTATTGGAACTCATAAGAGTTTGTCAAAGTAGCAGGATATAAAATCAATGCACAAAAATCAACAGCCTTTGTATACACAGGCAATGCCACGGCTGAGGAAGAACTTCTAAGATCAATCCCATTCACAATAGCTACAAAAACAATCAAATACCTTGGAATAAACTTAACCAAGGACGTTCAAGATCTCTACGATGAAAATTACAAAACCTTAAAGAAAGAAATAGAAGAGGATACCAAGAAATGGAAAAATCTTGCATGCTCATGGATTGGAAGAATCAATATCATCAAAATGTCCATTCTCCTAAAAGCAATTTATAGATTCAATGCAATACCAATAAAAATACCGAAGACATTCTTCTCAGATCTGGAAAAAATGATGCTAAAATTCATATGGAGACAAGGAGACCTGGAATAGCTAAAGCAATCTTGTACAACAAAAACAAAGCTGGAGGCATCACAATACCAGATTTCAGGACATACTGCAGGGCAGTTGTAATCAAAACAGCATGGTACTGGTACAGAAACAGATGGATAGACCAATGGAACAGAATAGAAACACCAGAAATTAACCCAAACATCTACAGCCAACTTATATTTGATCAAGTATCCAAAACCAATCCCTGGAGTAAGGACAGTCTATTCAATAAATGGTGCTGGGAAAATTGGATCTCCACGTGCAGAAGCATGAAGCAAGACCCCTACCTTTCACCTTACACAAAAATTCACTCAACTGGATTAAAGGCTTAAATCTATGACCCGACACCATCAAATTATTAGAGAGCATTGGAGAAACCCTGCAAGATATAGGTACCGGCAAAGACTTCTTGGAAAAGACCCCAGAAGCACAGGCAGTCAAAGCCAAAATTAACATTTGGGATTGCATCAAATTGAGAAGTTTCTGTACTTCAAAAGAAACAGTCAGGAGAGTGAAGAGGCAACTGACAGAATGGGAAAAATATTTGAAAACTATGCAACTGATAAAGGGTTGATAACCAGAATCTACAAAGAAATCAAGAAGCTCAACAACATCCAAACAACCCACTCAAGAGATGGGCCAAGGACCTCAATAGACATTTTTCAAAGGAGGAAATCCAAATGGCCAACAGGCACATGAAAAAATGCTCAAGATCACTAGCAATCAGGGAAATGCAAATCAAAACCACAATGAGGTTTCACCTCACCCCGGTTAGAATGGCTCACATTCAGAAATCTACCAACAATAGATGCTGGAGAGGATGCGGGGAAAAAGGGACACTAACCCACTGTTGGTGGGAATGCAAACTGGTTAAGCCACTATGGAAGTCAGTCTGGAGATTCCTCAGAAACCTGAATATAACCCTACCATACAACCCAGCCATCCCACTCCTTGGAATTTACCCAAAGGAAATTAAATTGGCAAACAAAAAAGCGGTTTGCACATTAATGTTTATTGCAGCTCAATTCACAATAGCTAAGACCTGGAACCAACCCAAATGCCCATCAACAGTAGACTGGATAGAGAAATTATGGGGCATGTACTCTATAGATTACTATACAGCAGTCAAAAACAATGAAATCCAGTCATTTGCAACAAGATGGAGGAATCTGAAAAACATTATGCTGAGTGAATTAAGCCAGTCCCAAAGGGACAAATATCATATGTTCTCCCTGATCAGCAACAACTAACTGAGCACCAAAGGGGAAACCTGTTGAAGTGAAATGGACACTATGAGAAACAGTGACTTGATCAGCCCTTGTCCTGACTGTTGATGTACAATGTAATACTTTATCCCTTTTAGTATTTTTTTTGTTCTAGTACTATTGGTTGAACTCTGTGATTAACACACAATTATTCTTAGGTGTTTAAATTTTAACTGAAAAGTGATCCCTGTTAAATATAAGAGTGGGAATAAGAGAGGGAGGAGAGGTACAATTTGGGACATGCTCAATCAAATGGTGGAGTTAGAAACGTGCCAGGGGATTCCAATACAATCCCATCAAGGTGGCATGTACCAATGCCATCTCACTAGTCCAAGTGATCAACTTCAGTTCACAATTGATCACACTGATAGGTCTAAGAGTCAAAGAGATCACACAAACAAGACTAGTGTCTGCTAATACTAACTGATAGAATCAAAAAGGGAGAGAACGATCCAACATGGGAAGCGGGATACACAGCAGACTCGTAGAATGGCAGATGTCCTAAATAGCACTCTGGCCTCAGAATCAGCCCTTAAGGCATTCGGATATGGCTGAAGAGCCCACGAGAGTAGTTATGCATGGAAAGCCAGGACACTCTGGGAAAAAAAAAGAAGACCTAAATGAAAGATCTCTGCAAGTGAGATCCCAGTGGAAAGAACGGGGCCATCAAAGAAGGAGGTACCTTTCTCTGAAGGGAGGAGAGAACTTCCACTTTGACTAGGACCGTGTCGGAATAAGATCTAAGTCGGCAAACTCAAAAGGCTTCCATAGCCTTGGCAACTCATGGCTAGAGCCTAGGGAGATTACTGATGCCATAATCAAGAGTATCAAATTGTTAAATCAACAACAGGAATCACTGTGTACTTATTTCTCATGTGGGATCTGTCCTTAATGTGTTGTCCAATGTGAAGTAATGCTATAACTAGCACTGAAACAGTATTTTACACTTTGTGTTTCTGTGTGGGTGCAAACTGATGAAATCTTTACTTAATATATACTAAATCGATCTTCTGTATATAAAGATAATTGAAAATGAATCTTGATGTGAATGGAATGGGAGAGGGAGTGGGAGATGGGAGGGTGCGAGTGGGAGGGAAGTTATGGGGGTGGGAAGCCTTTGTAATCCATAAACTATACTTTGGAAATTTATATTTACTAAATAAAAACAATATTAAAAAAAAAAGGAATGGATTTGTCTGTTAATTCCAGAAGGCGTGGGTCTGGAAGGCGTGTCTCAGGTAGGGCCAGGGGTGAGAGGTCCTGTCATCCACCTGTTCAATTCTATTCTACAGAGTAGTTCGTGATCTCTAGTGAGTCTGGGACAACCCCTGGAAGGAGACGAGAGGGAAGGGCTGGTAATAAGCCAAGGTGCTAGCTGTGGAAGACCTGGGGCAGTGTGCTTCCTTATAATGTATCCACACACTCCTTCCCCATGCCTCCCTCACTGGCTCCTTCTTCAAGTGAGCCCAGCCTTCTGCCTAGGAATATAATGGTGGGAGGCAGGACAGGCCGGTGTGGGAAGGAGGAGAACATGCACTGGCTCCCAGTCATCAAACCCATGGGCGTCCTAAGAACACCTGGTGCCAACTCCCTACGGGGAGGGGCTAGATTCTGGAAAGCTCCCTTAATAAGTACTCGACCCAGGGGGTTAGAAGCTCACTCAATCTCCAGGAGCCCTGGGGTCTGCGCTGCTCCATCAAGGGGTGACAGAAGAGAACTGGGCGTGGCTTTGCCGAGGGACACCTGAAATGCAAAGTACCAGCTGGAAAGGCCTCTCAAGCCCCTCCGGGTTGTGGATGCGGTGTGGACAGCTTGACCTGGCCTGGGAGCCACCCAGAAGTCCCCATCTTCCCTTTGTCCTAAGGCTCACTCTGCAGCCAGTGGGAAGGTTGCTGGCAGAGCCAACCTACTGGCTTCTAGGCTCCCAAAGGCAAACGGACAGACAAACAGAGGGATGGACGGATGAACACGCGCCCCGGGGTACCTGCAGAAGAATCTTGTTCCCGTCGTGGTCCTCCGTCTGCCAGCGCCCCTCACTGATGGGGCTGCAGGGGTTGGGCAGGAGGGGCACCAGCTCGCCCATGTCCTTTACTCGGAACTCCAGCACGGAGGAGTCGGTGGGGACCGGGTTCTGGTCGCAGGGCAGCCTTTTCAGGGAGAACTGGATGTCCAGGTCCAGGTTGGAGAAGATGGGGAAGATGCAGAAGTCGGTTTTCCTCTGGCTGGGGCTCCGACGGAGAATCAGCTCGTAGAAGCGCAGGCTGTCGGCGTAGCTGTCGTGGCGACAGTAGATGGTGAAGCGCACGATCTCCTTGCCATAGTGCACAGGCCGGATCGCCCACAGAGGAGTCCCGGGTGCCAGCGTGAAGAAGTCCTGGCTGCAAGGCAGGTAGGGCAGGAACCTGCCGTGCACGCGCTCCGTGTGGTGGTGGCGCCAGGGCGGCCGCCGCAGCGTGCGGTGCAACTGTAAGATCTGCTCCTCGCCATACTCTTCCTGCAGGAACAGCACCACGGCCAGCGCCGGCTGCGTGCCCCTGGGGGACTTCCGCCGCCGCCCGCTAGAGCGCCGCTCTGACACCCGGAATAGCGGGAGGTCCGGGTGGATCCAGGCCAGGACCTTGTCAATGGCCTCCTGCAGGGGCCGCGACTCCCCTGGGTCCGCGATGATGTGGATGCTAACCAGGAACGGGTCTTGTGCCTCCTCCACCGAAAGCTCACCTGGGAGCATACACAGACACACAGACACACACACACACACACACACACACACAGAATGAATGGATGCATGAACCAATGAAATTGTGATTATTGCATTAAGGTGTTCAGAGATGACACGTGTGGCCTTGGCAGGGAGAGAAGCCAAATTCTAATACAACTGACTCCACGATCTGTAATTTTCTGATTTCAAGGTCAGGTGCAAGAACTACTAGGGCAGCTCCCTAGTGGCCAAGGTTAGGAATGGTTTCCAAGCTGTTCAGTTTTAGGAAACCTTGGTCCTGCATCTGAGCAGGTGCAGCCGGGTAGGGAACATTTGACTTCCTGTTTATCTACTAGAGGACAGAAAGTCAAGTCTCAAAGGGGTAAGGGGCCCACTGGAAAATATGCTGCACTGCCACCTGCATGCCATTCAGTATTTCCTGAAAGAACTGCAGCATTTCACCCTACAAACTCCCCCAGTACCACTGCGCTCCTGTGCTTTGCTTAGTTCACTGGGCTGTTCTATTCATTCATTTAACCAGCCCTTATGGGCTCCTTCCTATATGCCTGGCACTGACCCATGGGGCCTGCTGTGCAGGATGGAGAGACCTGTGCTTGCTCCCTGGGAGCTACTCCAGCTGAGAGTTCAAGCCCAGCCTAGGAAGGTGTCCTGCCCATAGTACCTCCCTGGCATGATCATCTCGCTGCTGGAGTCACAGGGACAACAGCCTGGTGGGCGCAAGTGCAGTGTTCTTGCTGTTGAAGTTTATGGGGCTGTGCTTTGGGGTGCGGTTTTGAAAGCTTGGTAGGCCCATGACTGCCCGCGTGGGGCTGCCTTTTGGGCCACTTCCTGGCTCATGTCCACCCGGAAGCCCACCCTTCCTGAATGGGGCAGTTCCCCGCCCTGTGGTCTCTGGCAGAGTATCTGGAAGCACTGGACTGCAAGTGTCAAGCTTCCTGTTTACCTTGGCAACACCTTCCCATGGGTGACATAGTTTGCTGGCCACCCTGGCATATTTCTAACTGATTAGCTATCCTTGGTAAAAGGCTTGCTCTTTTTAAAAGATGGCTTGGGGCAGGCATTAGGGCACAGGCATTAGGCCACCACTTTAGGATGCCTGCATCCAATACTAGAGGGGAAATTTGAGGCCCAGCTCCTGTGCTTCTGATCCAGCTTCCTGGGAATGCGCCCTGGGGCCCAGCAGATGACGGCTCACGTGCTTGGGTGTCTGCCACTCACAAGGGAGACCTGATGTAGTTCTGGTCTCCTGGCTTCATTCTGGCCCAGCCCTGCATGTTTTGGGCACCTGGAGAGTGAATAAGCAGATGGAAAGATTTTTCTTTCCTAGCTGTCTCTGTCTCTCTCGCTCTGCCTTTCAAGTAGATGAAAAAAATATAAAAACATTTAAGAAGATGGCTTTATTTGCCTTTGTATAAATTATATGACTCACTTCAGGGAAAATAAGGCATCTTTAGGCTAACTGTGATGGGTGGTGTCTGGAATCTAGACCTGTCTTCACATTGTCCACTAAGGGTATCTGGCACCGCAGGACCATGTGGTCCGTGATGTCTGAGAAATGTGATGTGCTTGAAAACCATGACCTCAGTTCACAGGATGAAAGGTAATCTTCATGGTAGGTAAGCAAGATACGCCAGGTGGGCTTATGGGCTAGTTTCACTAAGTGCACCTATAATAACACAGCTTCGATTTTGTTGGGTCAAAATCTGTCTGAATTTTCACCCCAGCTCTGACTGTCAGACATCTCACTGCAATACTTCAACTTGTTGTTACCTTCTCTCTGCACAGTGCACATTCTGTGCAGCCACAGGCAGCAGCCCTCTAAAGAACTGTGGCCACAGGTGAGACCTACACAATTTAGGTGGGAACACAGGCAGAAAAATTTAAAATCAGGGGTGGGCACTGTGGTGTTGCAGTTTGGGCTGCTTCATGGTGGTTTATGTCCCAGCTACTCTGTTTCTGGTCTAGCTTCCTGCTAATGCACCTGCCTGGCAGCAGATGATGGCTGAAGTGCTTGGGCCTCTGCCACCTGACAGGAGACCTGGCTAGAATTCCTGGCTCCTGGCTTCAGCCTAGTCCAGGCCTGACTGTTGTGGACATTTGGGAAGTGAACCAGTGGATGAAAGATCTCTCCCTCTGACTTTCAAGTAGACAGAAATGTATAAGCAAACATTAAAGAATTAAAATTCAATATGATCTATGCCTATAAGAAATGCAACAGACTTGGGGCAGAGGCTAGATTCTAAAGTCAGTATGAAGGGCTGGTGCCATGGTTCACTTGGTTAATCCTCCGCCTGTGGTGCCGGCATCCCATATGGGCGCTGGTTCTAGTCCCGGTTGCCCCTCTTCCAGTCCAGTTCTCTGCTGTGGCCTGGGAAGGCAGTGAAGGATGGCCCAAGTACTTGGGCCCCTGCACCTGCATGGGAGACCAGGAAGAGGCACCTGGCTCCTGGCTTCGGATCGGTGTAGCGGCGGCTGTAGCGGCCATTTGGGGGGCTGAACCAACAGAAGGAAGACCTTTCTCTCTCTCTCTCTCTCTCTCTCTCTCTCTCTCTCTCATTATCTAACTCTATCTGTCAAATAAATAAATAAAAAAAAGTCAGTATGAGGGGCCAGCACCGTGGTGCAGTGGGTTAAGTCACTGTCTGTGGTGCCAGTATCACATGTGGGCATCAGTTTGAGTCTCAGCTGCTCCACTTCTGATTCAGCTCCTTGATGATAGCCTGGGAAAACAATGTAAGATGGACCAAGTGCTTGGGCCCCTGCACCCATGTGGGAGACCTGGAGGAAGCTCCTGGCTCCTGGCTTCGGGCTGGCCCAGCCCCAGCTGTTTTGTGGCCATTTGGGGAGTGAACGGGCAGATGGAAGATCTTTCTTTATGTCTCTCCCTCTCTCTGTAACTCTGATTTTTAGATAAAAAATAAATCTTTAAAAAGAAACAGGTTTTGAGCAAGCTACTCAAATTCAAAAATAAAATCAATACAAGGTAAGGGTTGCCCGTAGATAGAAATCACTACCACTGAAAACTCGCTGGATTTCCAATCACGTCCTGCGTGGTTCTGACTTGCAATAAGACTGCACAGCCAGAGTGCTGGTTCTTTGATTGAACACGAGGTGAAATAACCGGTTTGCTGTAGGACCCTGTAGAAAAGAACAGTCTGTTTCTTTAAACACCAGACCCCCACTAGGAAAATCATGCCCTTCACTCTACAAGAAGCTTTTGGGAACTTGAGAGGCTTCTGGAACCTGAGGATGACTAGGGTAAGAGCAGAGTGAAGCCTTCATTCTCCTGCGACAATGGGAGCAGATGGGGGCGGGGGTGGAACTACTGAACTTCTCCTCTCCCTCTCATCACTCTCTCTGGTGGAGCATGGATTTGCAAACTTGGAGAGCTCAATAGGAGCCAGATGCAATTCCAACTAGCTACTATGTAGCAAATGAAGGAGCCACTCTTTCTCTCCAGGGCATCTGAGAAGGCTTCCTGGAGGATGGTGTCCTGTAGATCTTGAAAGGTAAATAGCATCTCACTTATAGTAACTTCCTATGTAGCAGTGATCACTGTAGGAAGAAGGAGACAGTCCATGAAGGCCCAGAACTTTGCAAAACCAAGCACATCCGAGAGGAGGCAGTGAGTAATTCTTAATTATAGCAACAGATGTGCCTGGAAAAATGGACTGGAGCCAGGGTGTGCAGGGCCTCAGCTCCATGTGGTAGGTGATGGAAGGTTTTAATAAAGAGCTGTCATGTTGAGGTCAAGACAGAGGGGAAGTTCACTGAAGGCAAACCAGACAAGAAAAAAATCAGGACAGAGCAGCACAAGGGTTTGCATCATTGGCCTTAAGTCTCTCTCCTGCTCTCTAATTGTGCTATCTGCCATGTTGCTTTTCACTTCCTCCCAACAAATGGAGGAAGTGGATTTCCCCACACTTGGAGTTTGGACCAGGCCAGATGCTTGGCTTTGGCCAGAAGAGAGTGATATGTGTTTGTTTTCCCTCTTGGTGCACCTGGCATTTCCCTGGGGAAGAACACGCTGGGGCTAGCCCACCATCCCAGGGGGAGGATGACAGACGTGCAGCAGAGCCCCCTAACTGAGCCCAACCTGCATCAGCCAGCGGAGTCTGAGCTGGGTCAGCTGACCCAGACGTGGGAAATAATAAATGACTGTGGTTTCAAGCCAGGGAGTCTGTGGGTAGTTGTTACAGCAGTGCTGACAGGTACAGATGGAATCAGTGGGTGAGCAGAAGAGGCATGGACGGCTTCCCAGGCTGGTTAAGACGACAAGTGACAGAGTGGAGCCCACAGGCGTGGGGGGTGCTTTGTTGAGAGAGCAGGAGAGTCATGCACCTAGCTGTTTCCAGCTTGAGCACTGGTGTGGTACAATGCTTAACTGTGAGGGGGAACAGAAGAGGGCGGGCTTGCGGGGAAGGCTAAGGAGTTCTAGGGTGGCCACTTGACTGGGGTGAGCAGACTGTCTGTTGCTGAGGTGATGGGCTGAATTTAAGGATTGGCCAGGCACCCTTTTGCTCTTATGTAGTTATTTGATAAATGTGTGCCTCCCTATTGATCTGAATCATGGAAATTCATCATGATGGCTTAGAAAACAATTGGAATTCATGGGATATTTCAAACCTTTTCATTGCTCGCCGTTTCTGCTCTCCTGGGTTCTTTCCATTTCACTGAACATGAACACCATTATCAGCGGAAGTGCAGTTGAAACTGCAGCAGAGAACATGCAAACCAATGAAGTTTTCCACCAGTCAGTAACCAGGGGAGATGCCACTGTCACCACAAATGCAGATTGCACCTTAAACTCCAACAGGAAGACACATGACTTGTCCAAGCATCAGTGAATGATCAGTATACATGGAAAAGGAGAGAGAGGCTTTGAGCAACCTGGGGTAAACCAGTTCACCCAAGACATTATCCTAGATAAAGCTCACTGAATCCTCACACAAACCCTGGAAGGGGGCCCTACGATTGTCCCCAGTTTAGAGAGCAGGAA